TACGCCTTCGTAGATAATTTTGTATACTTCATTGAGAATTTGGATAAATTTCAACAGTTGATGTCAAAATACAAAAAATGATTTGAACTCAAGTTTCTCTTCTCCTTTTAACAGAGGAAGGATAAAGTGTTTCGTGCTGTTTTTTTTAATATGTCTCCCACATTCATTAAAGTCTTCAGCTTTAACTTTTCGACAACTATTATATAAAACGAAATATAACCGGATACCCGCTTTATATTTTCGGGTTGGAGTTCCGTAAAAACAATTAATTTTTTGGAAAAAAAGCTTTTTGGCTTTCTTCTTCTTCATTATTGAACAAAACATTGAGAAACGTTCAAAGGCAGGGAGAAAGAAAATAACTACAATTGAATCTCGTTGTAAAAATATGTAGATTATACATAGAAGTTTATTTCAGATACAAACTGGAAGGAAGAACCATATCAAAACAAATACTCCACATGCACATTGAGTTAGACGAAAAAAAGTCCTTTCGAAATACCTAATTACTTTCATGTGTACATTGAATTATACAAAAATCACTTTTTCTCATTGAGTTTGTACTACAAACATTTGTTATGAAATTGAAACAGAAACATTTATATAAACGCAACACAACGTGATATATGAAAGAGTATTGATATTCTGAATCTGCATTCTGAAAACATGCATGGAAGAAATAGTCTACCCCCTGACCTATCTGATAAATCTTTCTATGGAACGGGGAATGTTTCCTGAGAAATTAAAAGTTGCAATCGTTACTCCAATCTTTAAAAAAAGGGACTCAAATAGCTATGAGAACTATAGAGGGGTAAGTCTTCTCTCTAGTATACGAAATGGATATTAAAAATCAGTTACTATCGTTTCTCCTCAAAAATGAATGACTTCCGACAAACCAGCATGGTTTCATGCAAAATAAAAGCACGGAAACAGCTTTATATGATTTCATAGAACACGTAGTAACAGCCTTGGATAACAAACTGCAAATTTGTGGTTTGTTCATCGATTTTTCTAGAGCATTTGACTGTGCGGATCACTATGTACTAATCCAGAAAATGCATCGCTATGTGGTTCGTGGAGTTGCCCAAGATTGGATGAGGTCATATCTAGAGAACAGGTCACAAACAGTGAGATTTCAAGATGTTCACAGTCAGTCCTTGGCCTGCAAGCAAGGAGTTCCACAGGGGTCTCTACTCGGACCACTGCTTTTTCTTATTTATGCGAACGACTTGATACAATACCTAAATAGTCTTTCAAAGGTACATATAGTTGCATATGCAGACGATACAAATGTTCTGGTCACTGGAAATACATTAGCATTCAGAATCAACAGAATCCATATATGAGAAAATAATGAAATGGGCTGAAAAAAATCATTTAGCACTAAATATCAGCAAAACAGCATTAGCCAAATTCACAGTGCAGAACACCACCGAAACTCTCAAAATATATGAAGATAAACTAGAGGTGACATCCAAACCAGAAACAAAAATGCTAGGTTTAATTCTAGATCATAAGCTGAATTGGGGTCCTCATATAGATTCACTATGTGATAAACTACGAAAGAACTTATGCACTGAGATTTATGTCGAATCATTGTGGAAGAGAGGTGCTCCTAAGTCTGTACTATGCAACTATTGGCTGTCACTTGCGCTATGGAATTTTGAATTGGGGTATGAGCTCCTCGGCTGAAAGAGTATTTATATTACAAAAGCGCGCAGTCAGAATAATTGCTAGTTTAGGATGGCGACACTCATGTAGAAGCTCATTCAAAGAGCTGGAAATACTCACAGTTGCTGGTCTGTATATATATGAGATGTGT